TATTGACTGTCTATAACTGAAATCCGTCAGTATAAACGATCAAACTTTCACACTTCAGAATATTTTAAATAAATTTAAAATAAAAGAAAACCCTTGTTATCGTGTTTAACCGTTGCTAAACGTCTTTGGCTTGAACTTCTCTATTTTCAACTTTAATATTGAAAAATTGTACATTAACGCCAAATGTGGATTTAGGATGCTTTATCGGGAGAGTGCTTAATACAAAATTGTTTAATTTTCGGTATTTCGTCTTAAATTGTTTATTTTATATATAAAATACAGGTTATTAGATTTTAGTTAATAAATTTTAATAGATATCGTATATCAATTTTAATGGCTAGAATATCAGATGAAGACAGTTCATCACTCAAGTTTTAAAGGATTAAATTGTACTTGTTGAGAAATTACTTCGAGATTCTTATTTTCAATTTGTTTTTAAAGAAAATGTTAGAAGCCTTCGAAATGTGGTGTTATAGGCGAATGATGAGGATAACGTGGGTAGAAAAGGTTAGAAATGAAGAGGTATTGGAAAGAATAGGAGAACAGAGGACTCTATGGAAGTTAATAAGAATTAGGCGAGATAGGTTGGTAGGACACCTTCTCAGGTATGAAGGTTTAGTCAGAGGCATATTGGAGGCAGAAACAGGAGTTGGGAGGGGTAGAGGTAGACCTAGGTTAGATTACTGTTCGCAAATAGTTCACGATGTGGGTTGTTCTAGTTTTAGGGAAATGAGAAGTTTAGCTCAGGATAGGAAGGAGTAGAGGTACGTGTTCAATTAGTCTTAGGACTGACGACCTTATGATGATGATGATGATTGGAGGGAAGTTAAATCTCTCTGTAGTCACACTTTTCCACCTGAATTTGACCAAATTATTACTGTGAATAATCAATGAAAAGTTTTTGTAACAATGTGTCAGTATTCTTCTGTTGTTCTATCAAATGACATTGTGCTTAATTTTATTTTAGTTCTTAATAGGTAATATTTAGATTTAAAATATGCGTTCTGGATTTGACATGTTAATTGAGCATTTAAGAAACGTTTTAGATGGTTTAACAGTGATGTCTTTAAACATAATTAATTACCGTTTTATAGTGTTCGTAATGCTAATGGCAAGTTTTGCTTAAAGTTTCTGAAATTCGAAACCATTTAAAATTCAAACCTGAATTCATAAGGTTCTTAGAGTAATCCCGAGTCAAAAAATTGGGACTCATTTTGTCCTCATTTGATCTCAATAGAATTTTTAGGGATATTTCAAACTACAAGACTCAAAAGTCTCATTTTATCCGCGGTTTTCCCGTATCAGGACAAAATGAGACTTTTGAGGAGTAAAGATTATTTAGGAAACCTCATTTTGTCTTCAAAAAGTCTCATTCTTTTCTTGTTGAGGTTAAATTGAGGACTATTGCCATAGGATTGCAGACATTGAGAATAAAATGAGACTTTTTAGAATCCAATGTGATGAGTCTTATGAAAACTTATTGAGGTATCTGAGATTAAAAACGTCTAAATGAGGAAAAAATGAGTCTAAATAGTTCATTTGAGGATAAAATGAGTCCCAATTTTTCGACTCGGGATTAATCCTGCTTTAAATGTTAATTGAAAAGTTTCGCCCTTTCCCTTGTTCAAAGGACTTTCTACATGCATTTAGGGTAAAACTGATCATTATTTTAAGAAACTCCGAAGCACGCATTAAATTTTTGACGACAGCAATCGGATAAAATAGAAAGAGATCGAAGGACTATTAAGATTGACAAGTAATTAGCTAGGGATAATTATTGTAGGATATTAATGCTTTTTTGCATCCCGTGCAAAACACTTGAATTAATTACAATGGTTTTAGTAATGTGAGAGAAGGAGCGCTTCAGAAATTACTTTGCTGTAATGGAATGATTTTAAATTTCTTATACCTATTTGCCAATGAAATGTAAGGGAAAATAGTGATAATTGCTTAATGTAAAGTATTTTTAGAAGAAAATTGTTTTTTAATAACGTTTAAAATAAAATAATGTTAAGATTTGTGACAATACATTTAACATCTTTTTATAGTTTGGTACGTACAAGTCTATTCGCCATGAATTATACGATGATTTATGGTAGACATTGTGGGAAAGGAATTATTTGCTTGTACTTTCTTTTCGACTTTTAGTAAGTTTTCATAATCAGATCAGTCATTATTAATTGAATTATTACAGCTAAATTATCGTACATATGGATTTATATGTTTACTAACTTTCACAACTTCAAAAAGCCGAAATTTTTTTGAAGCGCTTTTTCGTTTGGGTTTTTGTTAACTTTTTCTCCAAAAAGGCTTAGAAAAAGCTGTCATCACCGCAGAACTCTACAACCACTTCTATGTATATTTCACACATATTTGAACATTTAGAATTATTGTTTAATAATAACAATCGGGATGCATTTTTTAACTATTAATTGTCTTCCTTACTTAAAATAATAACAAGACCATAGTGTTTATTGAGAAAGTTTATGGGTGATATATGTACTGTAAATTGTCCTATAAAGTAGACAAGAAGTAAATTGTGATTAAAAAGTAAATGAACGTCAGTGATCTCATAAATTTTGCATTTTATTACTTCGTCATAAAAATAACAAACTACGAGAAATTTGCGTTTTAACGCGTTTTTTAAACTTTGTTTATTTAACTCGAGACTGTTAGGGATAGTTATCTGTATGCACAGGATTTACGACCGCGAACGCAACGTTGTCTATGAAGCTTCTAATAATTTTCCTTTATTGCTTGGCAAATTTCTAATTTACTTTTGTTGTGGGTAGTATTTCAAATACGAAATTGTGTAATGTGGATTACAACTGACGTAAAGTTTAAGGCGGTATTGAAAGAGAAAATTTTTCTTATTGTTAGTTTTCTTTTTAAAATCAATAAAATGTTATTGATTTGTTGACAAAGTTCATAACTTTTCATCCCCTTTGTTAGAGAATTATTATTTTTACATAAATTGTGCAAATGTTAACGAGTATGACATTAATGAACCCTCAACTAAATAATATCGAAACAAGCTACGAAATTAAACATGTAAATTATAGGGTAGGAGAGTCAGGGGACTGTGACCGCGCCCCCAACCGAAGGGATTTATTTAAGCTGTTAATTTCGCATATGGGACTCGTGTGTCTTCTATCTATGGGGAGCATGGACACAATGTTTGTAACAACCTTTTATTTAGTCTGTATGTGCTTCTGTACAATCAAACAGGTATAAACATACAGAATCATGATAAACATGAAACATGATACGTATTTATGAAGGAACAATCGGAACTTATTGTTTAACCACTCTTCTAGGTACAGATTCTCTTTCTCTTAAAAAGAAGATGTTGTATATAACAATTTTAACAAAATTAATCAATACTCTTTCACGTTTTGTTTCCCTATAGGTCGTTGCTTAAGTAAAATTAACAAAATTATCAAAATTCTCCCCATTTGTATAGGTGTTAATACAATTGTTGTTTAACAATTTGTCAAGTTGAAAATTTATTTTCTTCTTGAATAAAAAATTGCAAAAAAATTCAAATAAATATTAAAACCCGAAGAAGAAATAAAAATGCAAATCTTGCAGTGGTCGTTAAATCTTAAATCGCTAATGATGTATATTAGAAATGAGCAAAATTATTGTAAAAATGTAGGTGTATTGAAGTGATTATAAAAATTTAGTACTAATTGTTTTTGCTAAATAACTCCCTGACTTCTTGTACTTGTTGTATTGCTGTTAAAAGTTAAAAAATTCCAATCGTCTGAACGATTTAAAAATAGATTAATTTCCCATATAAAGAAAATAGTTTCCGTTTCTAACCTCTTCCTGAACACTTATTTATTTATCCCTACTGAAAAAATAGTACGTAGCTATCATATTTTAATTGTACAGGAACTGATTGTATGATTATCTTGATTATCTGATAATCATTTAATCATAATTGCATGGTAAGTCAGCCCGAAATGTGCATAGGTACCTATCAATCGTCCATCATTATAGGAAATTAGCTCGTTAGACAGGACTGTTACCTTATTAACCGTAGAGTAGAATCATTTTACAGAGGCGTTTCTCAATAGCTGCACATAATCTACAAACTAAAGAAATACCATTAGCATATGCGTGCATAACATGATATAACACCGCGAGTTAATCGATTTCCAAGCGATATCCTGTTCGCAGCTGGTCCATAACGTTAATAGACTGCTGCTAGTATAACACGCCGATGAAGGATTTATAAAAAAGAAAATTCTGTTATGCTGATGGCAATGTGGCAATTTACCCACATTAAGTGAGAAATTGTATGTGTCTGATGCACAGTTAACATTTAAACAAGGTAATTCAAATGTAAAGTGATCGATAGTGATTGATCACATTTCAATGTTTTGATGCCCAAAAAAAAAACATGAAAAAAAGTTATTGTACACTGCACCCACGTCAGAATATTTCATGATATTGACCCAAAATATATAATTTACAGTTAAACTAGTTTTCTTATTATCCTTTAGAAATCATAGCTTTCGGGTCCTTCCAATATTCTATTTACTTTTATGATTACGTACCTATTGTCAACTCAACATTTCAGAATCAAAAATAGGTATAATATGTTATAATATTTGATTCAAAAAAACTTTTCCTTTGTCGACTTCGAAAAGCAAATCACNTATAATATGTTAAAATACTTGATTGAAAAAAACTTTTCCTTTGTCGACTTTAATTAAACTATTGTACAAATAGTATCATAAGTTTTATATTATATGTTTTCAAAATAATTAAGATAAAATGTGTAAAAGTAATTTTTTCTAAAGATTTTCTCGGTCTACTGCACTTTTCAAATAGAACGAATAGTTTCGATTCGCGAAGGGTTCTCTCTAATACAAGTTCGCTTGATGAAAGGGTAGAAAATGTCGGAAAGGACAACGCCGTCGTCGTCGTCGTCTACATCGGACACAAGCTATTGACGTTTGATCTTCTGATGTAACAAATTTCGGTTACAGGTCAGGTCACGTGTCGGCGGAGGCCACGTCCAAAGTCCATCCCATGTCAGGAGTCGGTCCCGACGCGACCAAGCTTATCTCTAAGGGCTCCTATAAGCTGCTCGATAACGACGTCAAAACGGCTTGGATCAACCCCAGACTGATTTCTAGGGTAGGTTTGCTTTTATATAATATCTATAGATGTACTATACAGTTGAATTCATTCGTCTGTCGCGTGCAATTTCTCTTTTTGCACATAGGGGCATGTATGCAGCAGAATTCTCTTTAAGGCTATGAAATAGTATTCGCAAAATTATTTACGACTTTAATAAAATATAGGGAAACTAAAGGGACTACATTTAAAGAAATGAAATTTCATAATTACCTACGTACAAAAAAGGATTAATATTACCTTATAATTTGCATTCCAACTGTTAGTACACTACATCATAATTGAGTGTGCTTTCAGAAGATTTGTTTTTGTTGGTACGATTTTGTTTTTGTATGGTTGTGTGATTGTTCCAATGGATATTAAATTGTTAAGGTCAGTTTACACATATTCGTATTGTATCCGTTATGTAACCGTTCCTCATCCGACGCAGTATTTATATAGGTCAGGCTGCTGTGTAAAGATACTGCCCCTTATTACAGGAATAATATAATAATACAATTACATCTCTGTATCTAGTAAGGACATCAGTATTCATGTCAGAACGCAATCATGTATTACAGTACCGTTTTTTTTTCTGTACCGTCAACAGACAAGTTAATTATCATTAATATTAAATTCGGCTGAATCAATACAGATACTGATATTGGTGTTGTATAATGTTTTCGTATGACTTTATTAAACCATTTCTTCGTCGGTACACGGAAGGTATACGTGACGGACGCGGTTCGGACATGTGTAAACCGTCTAGCATTACAAAAGGCTTGATGTAATTTTTCTTAGTGCTTCATTCCCACAATTCTAGGTAAACTCTCGTTACTCTGAGTTATTGTGTACCTACTGCAAGGTGTACAATATTTTTTGAAAAACGTTTATTATGATCTTGGTAAAAGTATTAAATAATTAAATTAGTGAAGCGAACGGTTAAGGCGATATATATTAATATTTTATTTTGAACCTCCTTCTGACACATGACAGCGTTCTTAATTTGTCAGTGTGATATTCAGTACGACATGCCGCCTTATTGGGCCCTTAATTTGTACTACTACGACTACTATGTTGTTTCTTCTTGTTTTATGACTTGTTATTGGGACATTTCATGTATAAGACGGTTATTAACCGTATGTCAGTAAGTACCGCTGCATATGGCACTCATGAAGTAGATTTACTATTAAATTTATAGACTATAAAATACGATATTTCAGTAATTGGATACCCCGAGGAATTCTCATTAGATCAGAGTGAGCTCGGGTTCCTCTAACTTTCCCTGCTACAAACGAACAAGGATATGCCACCACAGAAACGTAGTACGGTTTCTGTAGAGCATATAAAAAAGTTTTAATGACAACTTTAAAACAACGGTTTATAACTCAATTAAGAAAATATCAAATTGTATTCATTAACTTTTTAACTCCCATATTTAATTTGGAACCAGCGCCTTTAAACAGGAAGAAGGATTATACTTTGCGTACAAAGTTTTTGTTTCAATCGTAAGGAATCACGTAAATTACATACCTATATATATTTGCTTTTATTTCTATACTTTAGTATATCTTTAGATTACGGCGTCGTAATTTTTCGTGAAGAAATAAATTGCTGCTAAGCTTGTTAAAAAAGTTTTTGATTAAAATGTTTTGGATGATAATGAAAAAGTAGAAAGTTTATGAAATAGCCTTTCTTGGTGTAGGTGTTTTCCTTTGAGACATTTGGGTGGTTTTTAGTAGGTATATGCAGGATTTAATTTCTCAATATTATTATATAAGTTATGGTGGGCGAAAGTATAAAGTACTTTGTAAACTATTATTAACAATTTATTAGATAAAACTATAAGAAGTAAGAAGAATTATATATAATATAATATTTCATTTTTACGTAGAAATGGATATTATTGAGATTAAACAATGGTAGAGATAGATTGCAGGTATTAATTTTATTAAATTATATTAATGTTTTAGAAAAAGGGGTTTACGATTTTCACTGTATTGCAAACGCCATCTCAAACCTCTTATTTTCAATCTTGATCCCGTCAGTTATTAATTTTAAATCCAATTTAATTATGTTTGTGATACACACTATTGTGCTTTGCATTATTAAGTATTTCTATTTTTATTTTAATGCCCAATCCAATTCGATCATTTTTGTAAAAGTTCATCCGCATCTATCTTCAATTGTAATTAAAACCGAAAGCGTATGAAATTCTCGGCAGAATTTCTGTGATACTAAATTTCATATCAATTGAATACGAATTAATAAAATAATTTTGATGACAACATTTTTTCTTCTGAAAATTCATAATAATTAACAGAGCTTGAACTAGTAGTGTTTAGGTAAGTATTTCTTTCCCACTTTCATTTGAAAATTGTGAGGGATGAGTTCGTCGGTCATTTAGCGGCGGAAAATGCGACACCATACATCACGGTCGGTCGTAGTAACTACAGGGGCGGTAACGGAATGGACGGGGATCTCCACATGTTCCTTAATGGCGTTTTCAACGTGAACGATAAATGCAAGATAACAGTTATTGTTCTGAGTCACTACGGCCAAGTAATAAAACAGCATTATGTTTCGGTGCAGTTTTCGTTTGCAGACTGAAATTAGTCTTTTTATTGACTAGTTTCGCCAAACAGCCGAAGCGACTACCATATGGAGCTTCTGTGTCGTAAAAGTTATAATTAATATTTAAGTGCATTCACTTACATCTTTTGGATAGAAAATTATGGCAATAAACTCCGCTATAAACTTAACGTAATCTTCCAATTAACTTATTAAATTTATAACAAGTTTGTGCCAAATGCAAAATCAGTTCAAAAATACCAGCTGTCCTAGTCATTTCAGTAAAGTTTCATCGAAATCAGTTCAACAGTTTCAGATGATTAGTTCATATAGACAGACAGGTAGACAGACAAATTATTCTTTAAGGATGTTTGGGGATTACAGTCGGAGACAAGAATACATAAAATTAGAAATTTGTGATTAATTAGGCTTTGCAGGTAAATGAGGTAAATAAATACTATCTATACTAAAAAAAGAGTATACCGTTTAAGAGAAAATTTGGAATTTGACCAAAAACTTTCAATAAAATAAGAAATAACGAATAATATTGTAGAGATGTAACAGTAACATTAACAGGGACGTGTAAATATAACGATTTATTAAAAGAAACAAGTTATAAAATGAATAAGATTAACTTAACAGAAAATGGAAGCTTTACATGAATGAGCAAAGCCCTCACGACGTCTAACTTTTTCGAAGGTTATTCTTCGACTCCCGATTCCGTCCTTTTTAAAACTGTACAGTAATCGGTACTTCTTGACCGTCCCAGAGGTCTTTTTCTTTAAGCAACGGTAATAAACTTTACGACAGGGTTGGGTCCGAGGACCTGGCTGCTACATGTACATTTTCCTAGAAATTAGTAAATAATTCTTACGACTATAACAACTTAAAATTTAAACATTAACAACTAACTTATTCTAAGGCACGTCTGCATACTACATTCGGCCATCCTGCATTACATCTGGCCTCAGATGTTAGCATCATCGTCTGTTTCATTTTCGTCGTCAGTTTCAGGTATTTTACTTTCTCGATTGAATTTAGGAAGATTTTCATCATATTGTGCCCACGGTTTCAGGTGGTCAGCTGACACTGATGTCTCGCGCGGCCCTTCATGATTACCTACTTTGCTCACAATGTAGCGGTCGTTACGCAGGACTTTATTTATACGGTATGGACCTAAATACTTGGGATACATTTTCAAACCTGGCCCAAATTGTGTCCGTTTTATTGCGACGAGGTTCTCCACTTGGTAATGTTTTGCCTTTTTACGCTTTTTGTTAAAAGATTTCTTATTTTCATCCTGCATCTGGGCAATTTTGTCTTTTGCCTCAACACGTATAGCGTCTCGTTCTTCGTCGAACATTTTTGTCCATTCTTCTTCAATGATCTCACGTATACGTTCATCACTCTTCAAACGCATGTCAGTACCAATTAGAAGTTTAAAAGGGGTATTTTTGGTGCTGCGATGAATTGTAGCGTTCAAGTACTTTTGTGCGGTATTTACATGTTTATACCATTCTTCGGGTTTCGGAGCTGACAACTTTGCTAATAATGGAATAAGCGTCCTGTTTACTCGTTCGACCTGTCCATTGCTTCGAGGTACACCTGTTGTAATACATACGTGCTCGATTTTTTCTATTTTGCAATATTCGTTAAATGCTTCTGAGGTAAATGCCGTCCCTCGATCTGAGATAATTCTTCTGGGATTACCGAATATTGCGGACTGTCTCTTTAGCCGATCAATTACGGCAGCTGTGTCTGTTGAACGTGTTGGGTATATCCATACAAACTTTGAAAATGCATCAGTGACAACAAATAAATAACGGTATGATTTCTTTGTTGACGGTATAGGGCCCAAGTGGTCAATGTGATACGTGTCTAACGGTACGCTACCTTTATTTATTGCATGCAATAGACCTTCCTGCTTTCCTTGTTTTTTTTCGACTAAAATACAATCTATACAATTTTTTATGACATGCTCAACTTTCTCTCGCATATTTTTAAACCAATAATCGCGTTTTATGAGAGCCTCGGTTTTATTAATTCCGAAATGACCGTTCTCGTGTGCACGTCTTATAATTTGCATCTGCATACAATTTGGTACAACTATTAAAAATTCATCGTTTACAATTTTATATAAAATATCATTTCTTATCTCATATTCCTTAGTTTTACAATTTCTTATTAACACAAAAATATTAGCTAATTCATTATCTTCATGCTGTGCTCTCTTTAACTTTACAATAATC